AACCTCAGGGGCTCAGCCTCCCTCCCTCCCAGACCAGGCGTCCCAGGCTCCCCAGGCTCATCACCTTCCTCGCCCTCCGGGCTGGGTCCGCCCCCGTGGGGCTTCCGCCAGACCAAAGCAATCGACTCATCGTAACAGACTCGCGCGTCCGCCAGGAAACTCGAGTGTCAGAGCTTTGGTTCCGCGCGCTGGCTTGGTTTAGGAACTTAAGGATTTAAATGGTGTTTGTACTCGCGGTCACCGGCGCCTCCCACGTTCTGGGTCTTGACCTACGTCTTCTCAGAACACTCCCTGGGACATAGCCTCTCGATAAAATCAGCTAAGGAAAAAAGTTGGAGATCGTTTCTAGGGCTATTTGTGGGATGAGAAGTTTACCAGCTTAATATCAATTTTTAGAAATACATAAATCGCCACAAAAGGTTAGGTTGAATGGTAATCAATATAGTGTCATGCTATCACTGAACTTTTAATGCTTTTACTGTGAAATAGCCTGTAATCTTCATTCATGAATGTCAATTCTGCAGTCATTCAAACTAGCACACCTTTTTGCAGGTCATTTGAAGGCTCCAGGAACATAAAGATGAAAATATAGGATCCCTGCCTGAAAGAAGCTGGCGATCTAATGGGCACTCAAATGAACATGTGTCTAACTACTGTGATCGTTTAGGAAACCGCCCCCATGTGCCATTTTCTGGGGTGAGTCAGAGAAAGCCTCACCTACCAAGTACGACATAGTCACTCCAATTTTCTTAGCAAGGAATCTAAGGCCCTCTGTGGTATGACTAACTTTAACCTGTCTTTTCTGCCACTTTTCCTCTTTCACTTCATACTCCAGCCTGGAGGAGCTATTATTCCCTGAGTATTCCATGAACTTCCACATCTTCAAAATGCAGCTTCAGGAACACCAGGTTCTTGAATCCTCCCTTACTCCACAGGCAATGTAAATTATTCCTCCTTTTAACTAACATATATCACAGAGCTATCACTCTATAGTTTTAGTATATAAAGTCATTGTTGCTCTAGATAACATATAAGTAAATGAAAATAACACAGTGGGAAGAATACTTCAGTTTGAATATGAAACTTGGGGTTTTCTTTTGGGTTCTGGGCTAAGGAAATGAGTCAAACCTGCCCACTTCAAAAGCATCACCTACACTGAGCCAAGGGAGATTTTGGAATGATCAGGACAAGGCTTATAAAAGTAAGACTGCTAATTCCTTTCCTTATTCCTGTTTCTCCCATCTTCCCTCAATCCAATCTCGCCAAGGAAGAGACATGTTGCAAACCTGGGGACTGGAGCAGTAAGAAAGGTGAGAGGACTTAACCTGAGAAGTTTGAG